TCAACGAGCATCGACAGAAGTGCGCCCATAGAAATAGGTCTGCAAAGCCGGACACAAGGTAAAGTAACAACATTTTTACAACATGATGTGGAGTTGAATAAGTGAAGCAAAGGAAGGTGGTATGAAGGCATTTGTTTTGTGCTGTGAAATTGTTTGTTTTTGTTTCTTTTTTGTTTGTTATTGTTTTTTTTAGTCAGAAGAGAAGCTGATGAGGCATCTTCTGAAGCCAAAAAAAACAAGAGTTGAGGTAAATTATGTTACTTCAGATGTCACATGTGGCTGATATTGTTCTCTGTGTGGTATCATTAGAAATGTGATGCTTCAAACATCCCCCACCTCCCAGTCAGGACACTGAAATTGACAAAGTCTGAATATCTTAACTTTTAGAATTTTCTGCAGTTTGGGCAGTTAAAGATGTTTGATATTATATCACATTTTATCCTGTAATTTGCTAATAATGTGAAAACTGCTTTCACCCCAAGGATGAGGAATGTGTGTGTCTGGCTGCCCGTCTAGAGGACCATAAAGAAGGCAATGTGCAAAGCTGGTGATGTGTGGCCTGACTTACATTGGAATTGCCATCTCAGACACAGAAGACCGGGGTTTGCTGACCATCTCTGGCTTCAACCTTGGAGTTTTAGTGTCATTCGTAATTTGGCTGATCTGATCTGATAAGATTTCTGGGACTTTTCCTGAGTAATGTAATGAGTGTAGAATATGAAGGCCAATTCAACATTTGTAGCAAGAGGTTGGCAGGTTAAGGGGAACAATGCATGAGTCACAGTTATAGGGTGTTTGCAGATGTAGGTTTACTTCGGGGGGGTTACCTGTAGTCTTCAACATGCATGCAGCAACATGCAGTTAGCAGGTTTGATGTAGAGATACTTAACATCAATGAAAGAGAAACCTGACACAAAGCACACAAAGTCAATGGTAAAACTTGGAGTTGCTTTTTATTGTGTTAATTTCACAGATTTCTTAGATCAGAAAAGTTTTTTTCCAAGTATTAACATCTTGGATTCCTTTTACACAGTCTTTGCTTTAGCTTAGCCACAAATTTTAGTTGTTCTAACATTTGTTTGACCCTAAGCCCAGTTTATTGTTTTAAAGCTGAGTTTTCCGTTTTCTTCTCGTGAGGTTATACTTTAAAACAAATGTGGTGACACTTTTTATAAAGTAAATTTGGATTCAGTTTTAACAACACACTAATGCCAATTTTTGGGGGGTTTTTTGTGTGTGTGTGAAAAGTTTGTGTTTCAGTCTGAATTCTATGCATCAGAATTTACATTTTACTGTAAGAAAGTACTGTAATAAGCTTTACTTATCACGGTGTCATTTCGTCTTCATAAATAAAAGAATAAACTGACCATGTAACTGTGAAGGATGTTTGTCCCAACATGCTGATGTTTTCATTTTTAATTTTAAAGCAACATCCAACATATAAAATATTTATAACATGACTGTTGACACAGCGTTTTAGGAGATGGACATGAAATTTGGTCGTTCTCAAGTGTTTCACAACCATTCTGTTGTATCTGTCCTGCTTAACATGTACCTACTGTAGCGGCGATGTAAAGCCCTTCCTAATAAACAACTTGCTGCTCTGGAAATACCGCTTTCATTTTACCAATAACTGCCTGAGTTGTTGAACTGATACATCACTGTGATCAAAGTAAAGTTTGCAGTTAAAGCGTCATTCAGATCAGGCATCTAGAGAGGCCGCACGATGTTGATAACTAGGGGCCTCGCAAACACACTACACACATACAACTGAAGATGGCGGATGTGTTGAGTGTTCTTCGTCAGTATAACATCCAGAAAAAGGAGATTGTTGCTAAAGGAGATGAAGTTATATTTGGGGAGTTCTCCTGGCCGAAGAATGTCAAGACCAACTACATAATCTGGGGGTATGTCAGTGCTAATAACATCTACAAAGTGCTTCAGTAGGCCTGCAGCTGATGCTCAGCTTTGCCTTGTGCTGCTAGTAACGACGGAAGGCTCGCTAGCTACGAAATGCTAACCCAGCTACTTTCCTCAAAAGTTAAAGCACCCTTTTAATTATTTTAGTGCACAGGGAGGTCTCTTCATAGACTATAGAGCCAATTTTACTAGCTTCATGAAAGAATGTATGTCTTTAAACTTAGCTCGAGAGAGGAAAAGCCAAACTTGTAGTGTTGTGTAATGCTAATTAATCATGGACGTAGCTCAGAGTTGTTTCACGGAGTCAGAAATCCAAAGAGTCGAGTTGAAACACCTGTGTGTTTGTTTGTTTTCTCTTTTAGTCCCTACAGTCATGACTATAAACGTCTTTCTTCACCGTGCAAAAACCAAACTTTGTGCATGTGACGCAGAAACTGAAGTTGCAAGGAGCAGTGCTTTAGCTAGCAGGAGAACCGTTGACAGTGGTTGATAAAGTGACTTTGGCTTTATATTCAAGCTTTAATGCGGTTCACATCAAACCACCTTAAGTGTGCATCACGTAGTAATTCACTTAAAGTTTGTTAGTTGTAAAACTGGACCCTTGCATGCTTTTTCAAAATGTATTTGTGCTTGTTTTGATCTTTAGTACTGGTAAAGAGGGGCAGCCCAAAGAGTACTATACCTTGGACTCATCTTGTTCTTCTCAACAATGTGCACCTGCCGCATCCATCCTATGTGCAGAAGAGCTGCAGTAAGTGCTCTGGAGTTCATATGAAACAGCCCAGAATCTGTCAGTATCAATCCTTCATTGCTTACCAACGTGTTGTTAGGACATCCTGATTCCAGCCCACATTTTGTCATACATGCAGCATCTTGTAAACTTCTAAGAGTGTTGACTTTTATGATTGTGTGTTGTTTATAGACAGAGAACATCCCTGCTTGTCAGACGACCTGATCGAAAGGCTTGCTACATATCTTAATGGCGAGAGCTGTAAGTAGCGCTTGGGCGCTGAGGAGGGGGCTTTCTGTGGCATCTAGTACAGGTGTTGTCATTCCAGGTTTTGGTTCCCTGAAAATTTGCTTCAAATGTTGTTTTTGTCCATTTGCAGCCACGTCAACGAGCATCGACAGAAGTGCGCCCATAGAAATAGGTCTGCAAAGCCGGACACAAGGTAAAGTAACAACATTTTTACAACATGATGTGGAGTTTAGTTTCATAACTTAATCCTGAAATTTAAATTTCAGGAATAATTACTACTTATAACTGCTAGAGCTGATACCAGTGATGCAACATACACTGTCCTATTTTTACAAAAACAATTTTGCATAAGTGAAATAAAGGAAGGTGGGATGAAGGAATTTGTTTTGCATAGTGATACAATGTTTTTTGTTTGTTTTTCTTTCTTTGCTATTGTTGTTTGTTTTTTTTGTTTTGTTTTTTAGTTAAAAGAGCAGCTGATGAGGCATCCTCTGAAGCCAAAAAACCAAGAGTTGAGGTAAATTATGCTACTTCAGCTGTCACATGTGGCTCATGTTGTTTTCTGTGTAGTATCACACAGGACACAGAAATCACAGTTTTCCTATTCTGACATACTTAACATTGAATTTGTTTACATATTCTTACTGTAACAAATGTGGACCACTCCCAACACCTGAAAATACTACCACTACTAATCATAATGATGATGATGATAATAATTCATTTTTTAAAATAATTCCATTAGGAAAATATTTAAATGAATTAACTTAGTAAACTAAATAGTGGGAAACGCAGCTCATTAAATATTCTTCAGTGTTTAGTGTAACTGAATATAAAATGGGTAACTGTGCGTCATGCATGCAGGTGACAGAGTCTGAGTATTTTAACTTTCACAAATTTCAGCAGTGTGGGCAGTTAAAGGTTTTTGATATATCATTTTTTTGTCCTGCAATTTGCTAATAATGTGAAAACGGCTTTCAATCTCAAGGATGAGGAACGTGTGCGTCTGGACAAGGAGCGTCTGGCTGCCCGTCTGGAGGGCCATAAAGAAGGCATCGTGCAGATCGAACAGATCAGGTATGATCTGGTTATGAGCTTTTCCTTATTCTGATTACCAGTTCCTCCTAACAGATAGTTCAGCTTATCAAAACGTTTGTCCCTGTCTTCCAGATCACTGTCTGAGGCCATGTCTGTGGAAAAAATTGCAGCCATTAAAGCAAAGATTATGGCAAAGAAGCGTTCAACTATCAAAACAGATCTCGATGATGACATAACACTGAAGCAGAGAAGCTTTGTGGATGCAGAAGTGGATGTCACCAGGGATATTGTTAGCAGAGAGCGGGTCTGGAGGACTAGGACAACCATTCTCCAGAGCACTGGAAAGGTTAGTGTACACTTTATGCCAGACTGTTTTCTGATGAAACTTTGAAACTTTCCTTCAGAAGCAAGAGCCTTAAGACAAGTGTGTTCTCAACTAGCGCTGTATAAATGAATTGTAATTGATTTGACACTATAATGCCAGATGTATCATATCATGTAACCAGAAACCCCTTTTAACCCTACGCCATCACCTGACGTGCACCTCCCTAGAAGTCTGTCTAAAACTTGGGTCGACGCAGAAATAACTGAATGGCCTGGAACATAAAAAGGAGTTTCTAGTTACCTTGTGAGTTATGACATAGATTTCCCACAGAAGTCTAAATTATACATTAGCCTCCTGAACCCTAAGAGACAGTGTGTTGGGTTGAGAAAACATTCAAATGGCCCAGCCATGAAAGCACCATAAATGTGTACCAGTACATGGACCAGTGTGAACCACTAGATGGCAGCAGAAGCTGAATTTAAATGTTAGGAATTAACAGATTGTTGAAAAGATGTGCTCACCTATCAGTTTAAATTTGGCTTATCAAAAACGAAACCATCTTATTTAAAGTCCAGCCATCTTTGTTTTATTTGTTTTAAGGTTGTCAGATATCTGATCTTATCTTAGTTTAACCTTTTTAAAGCTAAATAGATTTGTTTTGTCAATCCCTCAATAAACTAATTTAATGTGTCTCATTATGTCTAACTGGAGAGAGATAGATAGGGATAGGGAGGTAACAGTGCACAGTATTCAGTTAAGTATGAATGCCTGTTCAGATTCCACATGTTTAATATTTTTCTTATGATATCCAGAGTATTAAATGATAAAAATTTAAACAAAAACCAAATATTCATGAACAAGAATTTAGAGTTCACAGTTAAATTAAACTAATCTTTCACACCAGTTGTGCCGTTGAATTTTTGTTTCTTTAATGAAATGTTCAAAGTAAGGCAGCTGTCTCACTTTGTAGACACTGAGGGCAAAACTTGGAATTCCACCTGAACATCTGTTCTGTGGATGGATCGCTTGTTAGGAGAGAAATTGCAGAATCATGCAAAATATTGATTTTAATTATTGTACATATTTAATGAACCTGCTGCGTTGTTTATATGCAACAGCGAATGGACCATAACTAGTGAAATTTGAGCTCCTATTTGAATGTTCTTTTTGTTGTTTACATGCAAAGACTTCAGTTTTCTTGGCTCACAGTTCAAACTTAACCTGGGAAATTCCGTACTGAGGTGGGCATGATACGCACACATGACGCTCATCATTTCTAAACCAAACTAAAGATGTAGACAGACTGTTAACTTAACAGCACACAGTAATTAATAACTTGTACATTTTAAATGTGTTTTAATTGAATCTCTTCTGTGAGGGAAGTCTCGTTTTTGTTTTTAAAAGGAAACGACTCCTGCTCAACCTATTTTTGTTCCTTATTTCAGAACTTTTCCAAAAACATTTTTGCCATCCTTCAGTCCGTGAAAGCTCGAGAAGAAGGGCGAGCTCCGGAGCAGAGACCAGCACAGAACACAACTCAAGCGGTAAACTGACAAATATCCACTTCCTACAAATTACGTTACGTTATTTTTATTTTTATTTTTTATTGGACCTTAATCTTTTTTATTAAGTGTTTATTTGCACATGGTTTAGATCTTAATCACACTTTTTTTGTAAATTAATTTCTTTACAATTTGAAAATACAGGAGTAATAAGGACGATTAAGAACCAGTTGATGATTTGTTGGTTGAATAAGCACACACCTTTAATTTGATTAGCTGTTAGTCCTGTTACGTTTACATCTCATAAATAAATCAAAGTTAAAACTGACATATATTCATCTTATAATGAATTTGTCCAAAGTTATGTGTGCAAAAATAGTCTGTAGGTGTTTGAGTTAGTTGCAAATCCACTATAGTTTAAACTGAAGAGCGGTGTGTTTGTATATACAGGTATTTATTGTTTCGTATCTTTTCCAGGACCCGTCCCTAAGGAACAAGCAACCTGTCCCAGCTGCCTATAACAGATACGATCAGGAGCGATTCAAGGGAAAAGAAGGTGCGTTTTAGAAATGCTTTACTGATCATTTTAGTATCAATCCTTTTGCAAAAGAGTGCTTGTTTGTTTGAGTTAATATAAGTTCACTGATCCACAGTTTCCACATTTAAACCCAGCATCAGTAAACAAATGTGGTCAGATTATGGAGAGAAATTTGCCGCAAATGCATGCGATATGATTCACAAGCATAAACGAAAGATTCACAAACGCGTACAATGATATGTGTGTAACTTTTGAGAACTCAGACGCACGTGCTTTAATCCACACACACACAAATATCAAGCAATCTGACCACACGTGAAACAATTTTAAAAAATGCGTTCATCCAAACTTGAATAAATACTACTGATCATTTATGATCATTTATGCACACTTTATTAAGTTTAGCTTCACGAATCAGATAATGTTCTCTTTCAAAAACATTTCTGTGCGCGCACACATCTAAAAATAATCATCTCTCATGTCCTTCACAAAACCATAAATGCGTAAGCACCAGTCACCTGATACTCACAGACCACGTCACATGCCCACTTGAGATTTTAAGGCAAATTTAACGCTGCTAGCTTCACACAGATTCACAAATGTAAGCTGCTTTCAAGTCCCAGTGTAAAACTGGGACATCTGGGCTTAGAAGCGGCGAACACGTTGCATAATATGCAGGTATTAGATCTTTGTTCAGCCAGTGAGCTCCAACTCATAGCATGTTGTTGTCCTAGAAACGGAGGGCTTCAAGATCGATACTATGGGCACGTATCACGGCATGACCCTGAAGTCAGTGACGGTAAGAAATAACTTTTTGCACAATAACTACTAACCAAAACCTCAACCTGTAACGCATGTATACAAGCATGGTTTTCCACAGGAAGTTGAGTCATAAAGTCTGTCAAGTAGTTAAGTAACACATTTTAAATGTGTTATGTATGTAACAGCATTTGAAAAACAGATCCCTGCTGTTCTTTCTAAATAGATTTTACTGTTTCAAAGAAATTCAGCACAAAGTACAGATAACTGGATACATGTCCTCTGTGTAGGTAATGATGTCGCATCCTTACACGTCACCTGTCACAGCCATTTTTCAAAATAACTTCTTGGACAGTTTGATATGTGGAGATGTTTACTTGCACTGTCTGCTTCAGAAATCTAAAAGTCATACAGTAGCTCTGATTATTACAAAAAAGTACTTTATTTCTGTACAGTGAAGCACAGCGTGTTCTTTCATAAAATAAAACTCCAGTAGTTTGACTCAGACGTAGAAACAGTTCTTATCTCTGTTGTACAAAGTTGGCTAGAGCACTTGATTTGATTTTTACATTTCCAACATTTATGCACATTTTGTGTTGTGGATAAAGTGGGTTTAGATTATAAGTAAAGTCCCTTGATATGAAGTTCAAAAAAGAGGATGTGCTGAGATATAAATCTCTTTTTATTTTGTTTTTATTTATTTATTTATTTCATTTTTAACAGTGAGCATGTGAGTGTAACAGTGTCCTTTCACTCAGCTGATTTCTCTCCAGTCACTCTGTGTAAGTGTGTCCTGCCTGCTCTCTCTTTAAATGCGTTGATGCAGGCGTTTCGCTTGTTGCTCTGAAGGTGATGCCAGTATTTCAGGAGCTCATTGGGATGAAACCCATGTGATGTTATCAGATGGCTGTACTTGCAGCTGGAGTAAGATACTCGCCAGTGGTTGAATAAGAACTCGTTTGGTGGTGGCGTGGGTTCGATTCCGAGGCTGGCCAGACATATTCCCACAAACACGTCCTCCAGATGCAGATGGGGGATACGTAAAGACACTTGATAGATTTTCCTTGCGAGATCCCCAGAAAAGACGTAACCAGTCCCAGAGCAAAAGGTGGGATACTTGTCACCTGGGTACAGCTCCGGGGGCATGTACCACTTGCTGTTTTTATTTCGGTTGGGTGCGTAGCCTCTCATGTTGTTTCCTGTGAAGTAGTTCTTCCTGGGCTCCAGTTCAGGCCTGAGCAGCTTAAAAATGAGGTACTCTGTGTTGACGAACATGTCGCTGTCTGTCTTCATGACGTAGCTGGTGTGCGGACAGTGCATTGCAACCCAGTTTAGTCCCATCAGTGTCTTTATGGTGAGGTTTTTGTAAGAATCCAGGAAGTCCTGCTGAATGATATCATGATGCCTCCGGCTCTCTGCTTCTAGCATCCTTTGTTGTAGAAGTCCCAGTTCTCCATCTTTTTTCCCCAGCAGAAAGAGCCGGATAAATCCCAGAGCTGGAGCAACACTCTCGTTCCCCCACGTCTGCCGTATAGCATTCCTCGCCTCCACCTGCCGAGCTTCAGTGGCAATCAGCAACACCAGAAATGGCGCAGCTGTGTTGTCTGCACATTTATCAGGCTCGTTAATGATGTAAGGGTACGGTCCGTGGGTTATCACGGCGCTGAGGTCTGCGTCATCTCTTTGGCTTGTGTTTGCTGCCAGAACGTTCTGAAAATTTGGGTCTGGTTGAGTTGGGTAAACTCCCTGATTTTCACGGGAGCTGATGTTGGCGTCAGTCTGTTGAGGAATGATGACGAACCTCCACTGTGAATGGCGGGTGCTTGTGTTCCATTTGGCTTTGGTGGTGTGAGCTGCTCCACCTCCATACACCAGAGGATGCCCTCTCCACCATGGCATACCAGTGAGCCTCGGCAGCCACACCTGGTGGACTAGAAAGAACAGCACACCCAGCAGAGAGAGCAGATACAGAAGTTTAGCTGTGTGTTTACAGCAGTGGCGTCGTTTCCACTGCATGGTTTCGACACTTCTAGTCTTGACAGTTGTTACGCTTCAATCCAGTTGTCAGCAGGGTTTCAGCTCCTGTTGATGAGTAATATAAATCACTTTGTTGATACCCAGTGATGGCCTAGGAGACAGTGGAAAGAAGAGTATACATTTTCATTGTGAAAAACGAAATTATACTCAGTTTTCATTCTGATAAGGCTGCAGTTTACAGTAAATAAGCTTGTAAATACCAGCCAAGTTAAGAAAACTTTGCAGCAATCTGGTGAGCACGTTTTCATTTCTTGATTTGGAGAAATACACAACTTGATTGGCCCATCCTGTTGTTTTTAAACATATTTGATATCATATTAATGTAATGAGGGTACATTTCTATAGTCTAAATATAGTTCGTAGGCTTTTATATCGACATTAAAATCTACAAATTACCTGCTTTGACGTCTTCCTCTACCCCACTCGTTTTGTTAGTTTTCATGTAATAATGCTAGAATGCTAGTTGTGGCTAATTGTAGAATGTCAACAGACGGTGTAGTTTTTGCCTGTTCTACAGAATCCAGATCAGTTTTCTTTCTTTTTTTTAAGAAAATTACAAAACAAAGGAGCCTAACATAACAGAGAGGACTTTGAGAGAGTTTAAATTCTCTCCACTGCTGCATGCTTCAGTAGAAATAAGTTTTTCTCCCTTTAGAAAGACACACCCTTTACATCCTGTAAGTTAAACCACAACCAGAGGAGTGAATTATATCAGTCATCTGTTATGACTGTTTTTATGTCGATGTTCGTCTGTATTTTCAATTCTTCACAACATAAACTCACCTTTTTTAGTCTAAAAACTTGTCTCTGTGGTATTCATCGCTGCTGGATAAATTAGTCTTCACACATTCCGACTGGCCTCTCGGTCTCTGTTCCTGCGGTGCTTTTGGCCACATCATAAATGCACACAGCCCCATGTCCTCACTTTTTTTTTTTCCTGCAGCATATGTCAAATTGTCCTCTTCTTTGGCTGGTAAGGTTTCTGTAGTCAGTCCAGGGAAATTAATTTTTCCAGGTAATCCTAGCTTTTTGCCTCATGCGTGCACAAATGTGCTGCTAGTTCATGCATGTATGCCTGGCCAGAGCATGTTTGAGGTGTTGCAGTCTCTCAATCTGCCTTGGCGCATTGTCCCTAGAGGCTTGATTTTAGCTGTGGTGTGCTGCTTCTTTTGCTCATGGCCGAAGAGAGAGGAGAGACGGTAGTTGACAGTAAGCTGCAGCCCTGGGTCCTTTTACTGTCCCCGCTGTCATGTTGTGTATATCAAAGCAGGCACGCAGAGATGGGATTCACATCTGAATGATAAATAAGCCTACATGTCTCCGTTCAGCTTTGCTCCCCCTTGCTGTCCTTATCCTCGTTTCCTCTTGTTCTTCCTCTTTGATTCACATGCCCGCTGTCCACTGTGTTTCTCAGATCGTTCAGATTTCGGTTTTTATGCTTATCCCCCCTCCCTATTCAGCTGCCTCTCACGCACTGCTCCTTCTAGCTAGAGGAATGAAAGCAACGGGGAAGGAGGAAGATGAACGGAAGGAAGAGCTGTGAGTTGTGAGCTCGCTCTGAAAGGCAGCTCTAGGCTCGGTGGCATTACGCTCTCTCACCACGTCACGCCGTCTTTGCTGCTGTTGCTGCCTGCTCTGTTAAAGGGGAGGGGGTTGGGCTACTGACCTATTTGTATTCACACCCACTCTGCAGAATGAGGAATAAACCATTATCTCAATTGGCATGCTGTGAGAAAAGGAAAGAGGCCATTGTGTACACACTTCCACAAATCTTAGAGGGTTGCTGATTTAAAAGTGGCAAACATCAGCTTACATGTTGTTGACTGAAAAACAGTGGACATTACCACCCAGACCCCAGCAGTCTGTCACCCCCAGCTGTCATCTCACACAAACGTCTTGCATATAGTTAATTAAAATTATCTTTACACTAAGCTCACTAAATCTAATATTTAGCATTTTTGCCCATGTTACAATACATATATTTTATTTGTGTCTGGTAATGACAGAAAAATAAAAAAACGGTGACTTTTCAGGTGACAAACCACAACTGTGATTCTTAGCAGCACAAAGGCACAGAGATGACTGAAAATGCCGGCATAAGTACTGTTGCTGAAGCGTGAACTAAAATTGTAAGAGACCGTTATGTTTTTATGACTGTTCCAGCTGTAGAAATCCCATTTCTGAATTTTACAACATAATCACAGTTTTCTCATCCTGTGAGAAAGTTTGACTCCACTAACTTTTGCATGTTGGACTTTTATGTTTCTTTTTTCTGGTTTCATCTAAACATATAGACCTTTGCCATAGCTTAGTACAGTGGTGGTGCAGATTGAATTACAGAATAGATCGATTTATTGCAAGCTATGCTTTAATGTACAGTTATCACCCATCACACCTGCTCCGCTCCACGTTTCTGAAGCAGCAGAGCTCCTTCTCCCTCAGACTGATTCAACCTCACTGCCACAAAGAACCCTTGAGGAAATCATTCCTACTGTTCTCTATAAAGCTGTGTTTAAAACTCTTCATGCTGTGACAGGTGAACACACCTGTCAGGCATAAAATCCCAAATGTACTTTGTATTAAACCTTCATTCAGCTGGTTTTTTTTTTTATTTGCTTTTTTATGTAATGTACATATTAATTAATGCAATTTTCACTTTTCTCTCAGGCAATGTCAGTCTTACTATTACTGTTTTTAACTACATTTTTGTTTTTAATCACTGCTATAACTCTATAAATTCCTGCATAGGGCTTTTATTGTGTATTTCTTTGTTTATTGCGGTCTCTACTATTTTTACTTTTTATGTCTCTGTTCTAACACCCACATTTCCCTTGTGAGGTCAGTAAAGCAGCTATCTGTCTTGTTTTGTAGGTTAGCCCTGACAAGTTTAGCTCTCTTTCACAAGGGTAACTTGTGAACAAACAAATACTAGTGCTAAGAAAAACTACAGCAGTGTAATTAGCATTTGAGAGGTTTAAGAAACTTGCACTCGCACTCAGATGGGGCCTTCTAGTTAACATTAACCCACATACAGTTCAAGCAGATGAGCTCCAGACATGCAATTTATCTGTAAATGACACACTTTGTTGTAGAGCTTCAGTTAGATGTTACCTTGCAGATCAGAGGAGTTGGAGTATATTTGATACTTGATGCCCACTAATATTTAACTGTTGGTTGATTGTAGTTGTGTTAAAATGACAGATCACGCTAAGGATGACTACCAGCTGCTTCAAGAGCAGCTGCTCCTGCTAGGTGGCTATCTAAGCCTAAATATTCAACGCTGTTCAGTTATTTCACTGATGAAAAACACCTTGAACAATTTATTTCAAGTGGCCTGTTTGGCACAACAATAGAAGCTGCACAATTTTTATATTTCTTGTTAACATCAGAAGTTTCTGAAGACACTGTATGATGTGACTGTATATAACCTTGTATTTTTAATCTTGAGGTGTTGTTTGTTTTCTAGGAAGGAGCATCTGCTCGAAAGGCCCAGACCCCTGCACTGCAGCCTGTACCTCGTCCAGGTTAGTGTTGAATTCTAAATGTTCATGTTTAATCATGCATAAAGAATAAATGCAGAGTAAAAACCTTTTTTTAGTTTTTGCCCATCGTGCCACAGAGTGTAAGGACTGTTTCTGTTTGAGAGTTTGTACTGGAGTGATGTTTTTAACAAAGACAGACTTGCACTCTGTACTACTACAATATTCTTTTCTGTGCCTTATTTTTCATATAGCAAGGGGAAAACAGCTAAAAACACCCTATAGTCTGTACATGCTCCAGCTGAGCCTGGGCTAGTTCCTTTTTCATTCATTTCTCAAGGGTTAAATTGATTCTGTCATTTTTTTTTGTCCTCCTCCCAAATCCTGATGTAGTCACATCATGACTGTTTTCAGTTTTCAGTGCTCCCAACACTGCCTGTTAGTATGTGTTGATCAGCTCTTTTCATATATCAGTCACTCGGGTCTCTTACCAGCAGTTTCTAAAGGGACTGTATCAGAGCGTTGTGTAATAATAACGGTATTTCTTTTATTCACAACGTCGACTGTTTCCAGGCGTGGCATTTAGACACATGACTGTACTAATAAAAAAAGAAAAGAATATTCACATGATTTCTGAATGAAGCTGCATCGCTAAAATAACCTTTTGTCTGTAGAGAAGAATCACATGTTTGTTTGACTCTTCTACAAACGCTGACCTAAGATGCTCTCTTAGCAACTTCCCATTGTATGTGTGGAAAAAATAAAAAGTAGAACCAGTTTGACCCATTTGACCTGCAGCAGAGGTTTTAAGCTAAAACTTTGTCTTTGAGTGTGACTGCAAGTCTGACAAAAACTGTCTTTTCTGCTTTATTTAATTATACTCCAATTAGCAAAAGACTAAACATTTAAATATATTTAGTGGTCTTTCTTTAATTTTTGCCATTACTTTTATAAACTATCTAACGGTTCTCCAGTTGCTCACTCCATGGTGATACTTCACATGGGATTTATGCATTTGTGTTGCTTTCAGTTTTATCTCCAGCTGCTTCAGCCGGTTGGTAGATATTTATTACTTTAACACATTGCAGAGTTCTTGCAAATCCACAACCCCAATTCCAAAAATGTTGGGACACAATAAAATGTAAATTAAAAACCGAATGCATCCTCTCCTCTTTCAACACCAGTGCAGACCAGATCATGTGCTGTCTGACGTAGGATTCAATACTTGATGTAATTGAAATATGGGTTGATGGCAAATTCTGTTCTTACTTAGATTTTAAACAAGGTCCCAACTTAAACCATCATGAAACTGAACCACAGTTTGATGAAATGGGGAACTTGGAGAATCGGCTACATGTATTTTTAGTCTAACACTTTTTCTTTTTTTTTATCATTTGACACACTCCGTGTATGCAAGCTTTAAGAGGCAAAGTCGGGTTTCCGTTTTCTTTTCTTTTTTCTTTTTCCCCTTTTGGACCTAAAGGGTTCATTTATTTCATTGGTTAAAGTTAGCATTAGGTATACTGATAGACACCAGATTCTTCCAACTATCATGTGGAAGTACCTCCCCTTTTCCAAACAGTTTTTAAGGATAAATTCCAAAAAAACAAAAAACCTTTCTGTGGTCAGGTTTAGTGATGTTCGTTCAGTCGTTGGATATTGTAAGTCTTACTATTGTTAGAGCTTATGAAGAAAATTTCTTGTCAAGGAAGTGACTTAACAAATACTTGATGCATAGCAAGCAGTTTTACTGAGGATTGTTGTTCTTGTCTTTGGACTCAATATCCACATTCGTGTTTGTATTTATTTAAAAATATATTCTTTTAACTGTTTTCTCTCTAGTTTCACAAGCCAGACCTCCACCAAACCAGAAGAAAGGTACATCACATTTGATCAGAGTTAATCACTGTTTTTTAGTAGTACTGACCAACTGAGCTCTAGTTTTAAACCATTTTTAATGTGGCTTTCTCCACAGGATCCCGAACACCAATCATCATCATCCCTGCTGCCACCACCTCCCTCATCACAATGCTCAATGCTAAGGATCTCCTGCAGGATCTGAAGTAAGTACAAATCATTACTGCCCTTCTTCTTTCTCTAAAGTGTTCACATAATGAATCAACTGCACTGTCTTCCATGCATTGATGTTATTTGGTGGTTGATGTTCTTCAGACACGCAGTAGTGGATTTTTTTTTGTCAAGTTGCTCAACCCTAAGTTTAGGGCAGAGATTGAAAAAGAGCTTGGCGTGCCAGCGGTGACCGTCTGTGGTCGTTGCCATAGAGCAACAACTGTTTGGAGGTTTAATGACTGGATTTAAAATTGGCACCTCTGCAAAATGGGCAGTGCTGGCAAGAAAGGTAAAAATTGTACCCTAAGGAGCAGCAGTGAAATGACTTCCAGACTCTGGCCTGTACCAGGTTTATCACATCAGAAGAGAAGAAGAAGCAGGGCATCCCGCGGGACAATGAGGTTCTGCTACAGAGGCGCAAAGACCAGATCCAGCCTGGTGGCACAACACTGAGTGTCACCGTGCCGTACCGCGTCATCGATCAGCCGCTCAAACTGGCTCCCCAGGATTGGTCAGTATATGTATTTTCTCAGTTATATTAGCATTTTACACCATACAGGAACACTATGGAAACAACAAGCCTGTACTCCCCTCTGTACCTTTATCATGAAATGACCATTCATCAGATGACTCAGCTGTTAACGGGGATATTTGAGTGTTTAGCAAATATGACTCATTATTATGCATGCAGCCTGTGTTGAAACCACAAGATGATTATGTTTCAGAGTCTGAGTTATCATATAATGGGTACACAGTACTGGCCGATTGTTGAATAATTGCAGAGGGAAATGGGGGGGGAGGTGTGTGTTTCCTCTTCCTCACTTCTGCTGGAGCAAGTCTTAAGCCCATGTATAACACCCACTGGTATTGGCATATATGGCACATTACTGGTACTTGTGTAGCACCTTTCTACTTAAGTTGAGTACTCAGTGCTTCCTACTGCAAGCTGCACACAATCATACTCTAGTTGCTGCATTGGATGCAACTTTTCAGTAACCTGCCCAAGGACATGTGGAGCCAGGAGCCGAGGATCAGTCCACCAGTTTTCCGAACCACTCCACTTGACCTACAGCCGGTCAAGAATTTCAGCATCGGGCATCCTTGGTTGTAAATCCAACATCAGGAAAACACATATTGTCATATTAATGATACC